AGGCACAGCCCCTGTTGGAGATCCCAGAGGCGATGGGCATGACCCGCCTGCCGGGGTCGGATGTGCCCAGGACAGCTCGGTGGGGCCGTGGCAATGTGTCACTAATTGGACCCGTATTTGCATTTTACACATAGCCCTGACCCGAGGAGCCGCCTTTCCCTTGGCCGGTTCCAGTCCCACCCAGAACTCTTCCTGCCCCAGCCGGCTGAGTGACTATTCAGTAGCTGCTGCGTTCCGCCCCAGAGGTGGCTGCATTTCAGTGGCGGGTGAAGGAGGCCGCTGTGCGTGTGCGAATGAACAAGCTGCTCCATGTGTGGGACACTGCTGAGCTCAATGGGGCTCCTTGTGGGTGCAGGAGGCTACTGGATACCGGGGCAGAGCAGCTTGCAGGGTGTGTGGGGGGGGGTCCTCAAACCCCAGAGAGTGAGTCTGAAGGGCAGAGATACAGGAGAAATCACCTGTTCCCTACCCTGCCCCGTGGCCGTATCACCGCCTCCATGGCTTGGTTCGGCCCCCGTGCTCCAGCCTCCCTGCATTGACGTGAGTGGCCCAGGCGGCTCTGGGCTGGTGAACTCGCCTGCGGATGGACGGGCTGGCTGGCCCTGCCCTGCTCTGGGCGGCGGGCGTGGGCACAGGGTAAATCCTCTGCAAGCCCCTTGTGGGGGGACAGGTGCTGAGGCGGGCGCTGCCCCAGTGGCAGTCGCGTTGCTGGTCTCAGGGTAGGACCAAGCCAGTCTCTTTCCTGGGCTGCTCCGGGCACTAAGCAGTGACCCCGCCGTGGTGTCAGCGTGCCAGGTGTGACGGGCCGTGTGCCAGCGCGGGGGGACGAGTCCCCCGTGGAGCAGAGCGTGTCTCCATGCAGCCGCTGGGGCTGGGGGGAGTGCGGGTGGAGGAGGGGCTCATGGCGCTGACGTCCCCATTTGCTGGAGCAGGGACCAGTCACTTGGAGCGCAGGGTGGGGGGTGAAGTCTCTCCCCAGCAAGGGTGCAGGCTGGGACAGCCGGGGGAGGGGGGGTGTGAAGTCTTCCCCCACACCCCGGCCTGCACCCTTGCTGGGGTCCCTGCTTGGGTGTCGTGTGCATGGGGGCTGGGCAACCCCCTAGAACGACTGGACGTGGGTGACAGGGCATTCCCGGGCCTGGGGGAGAGGGGCCACTGCTCCGTAGCCCCCCTCGCACAGGAGTAGAGGTTATTGAACCTCTGCCCGACCACGGCTGGAGTCCTGGGGCAGCGAAGAGCCATGGGGCTGATTCAAGGGGTGGAAAACCTGCCTGCGAGTGAGAGACTCCAGGAGCTCGGTCTGGTTAGCTGGGCAAAGGGGCGAGTGAGTCACAGCCTGCGAGTACCTAGTGGGGCACAAGTGTTTAATAATGGGCGCGGCGGCGGCTGGAAGTTGAAGCTAGATGGATTGGGCCTGGAAATCGGGGTGAATCTGTACTGGTGAGAGTTGTCGTTTGGCTGGTTCGGTTCCCCAGGGCCCCGTCACTCACCCTGCGTCAGTCCAGGCGCCCTGGGTTCTGAGAGCTCTGCTCTAGGAATTCGCTGTTCACTGGCCTGTGCGACACGGGGGTCAGACTAGACTGGGGGCTCTCCACCTTTTTCCTTCTGAGCCGCCCCCCCGCAACTTATCGATAAACTAGGCAAATACAATTTAGATGGGGCTACTATAAGGTGGGTGCATAACTGGCTGGATAACCGTACTCAGAGAGTTGTTATTAATGGTCCCCAATCCTGCTGGAAAGGCGTAACGAGTGGGGTTCCTCAGGGGTCTGTTTTGGGACCGTCTCTGTTCAATATCTTCATCAGCCACTTAGATATTGGCATAGAAAGTACGCTTATTAAGTTTGCGGATGATACCAAACTGGGAGGGATTGCAACTGCTTTGGAGGATAGGGTCATAATTCAAAATGATCTGGACAAATTGGAGAAATGGTCTGAGTTAAACAGGATGAAATTTAACAAAGACAAATGCAAAGTGCTCCACTTAGGAAGGAACAATCAGTTTCACACATACAGAATGGGAAGAGACTGTCTAGGAAGGAGTACAGCAGAAAGGGATCTAGGGGTTATAGTGGACCACAAGCTAAATATGAGTCAACAGTGTGATGCTGTTGAAAAAAAGCAAACATGATTCTGGGATGTATTAACAGGTGTGTTGTGAGCAAGACATGAGAAGCCATTCTTCCGCTCTACTCTGCGCTGGTTAGGCCTCAGCTGGAGTATTGTGTCCAATTCTGGGCACCGCATTTCAAGAAAGATGTGGAGAAATTGGAGAGGGTCCAGAGAAGAGCAACAAGAATGATTAAAGGTCTTGAGAACATGACCTATGAAGGAAGGCTAAAAGAATTGGGTTTGTTTAGTTTGGAAAAGAGAAGACTGAGAGGGGACATGATAGCAGTTTTCAGGTATCTAAAAGGGTGTCATAAGGAGGAGGGAGAAAACTTGTTCCCCTTAGCCTCTAAGGATAGAACAAGAAGCAATGGGCTTACACTGCAGCAAGGG